GTGTTGTGGCCGAATCCAGCGTTATTTTCTCGATGATCAAGGAAACTGAAAAATCTGCCTGGCCGTTCTCGATGGAACGATTCCAGCGGAGGCAGAGGATCGACTTCCGGTGGCGGAGGGATCGAACTTGTGTACCGAACGAGTCCCGACGAAAGAAGAACCCCGGTACCGACGACGAAGCAACACGTAAGAGCGACTGCGATGTACCATGATCCGTGAAACGGTTTATATAGTCGCTCCCAACCACCCACGAAGTATTCAGACACCCCTAACGGCGACCAATCGCGCAACAGCTTCACCCGTGCCCTCTCCTACGGATGATTTTCTTTCTGACTCGTTCACGCCGCCGACGAATTAGGCAACGGTATCATTGGGGATGCAACCGTGTACCTTTGTACGGTGTGACGTCACGCGGGGGTTTAAGGGTACCTCCCATCGAAACTGACAAGGGAACATATCCAGCACCAACACACCGAATTTGATGAAACTTGTGTGAGGTACAGTTCTCAAAAAAATATTTCACACGTATTTGTTTTTTATCGGCAACCGTGCATATTCAAGGAGTAATAACAGCCTCTAAAGTGAAGGGTGAAAAACATGTTCTTTTAAATAACTTGGAAACTAGAAGTGCTATGACAAATTGTTTTTTAATTATGGATTTTTGAATGGGTAATTCACTCATGCCAGAAGAAATTGTTTGTTTATTTATTTAAACAATTTATTTTTGTAAAAATGTTTGTTCTGTTAATTTTTCTTACTAAATGTGACACTCGGTCGACGGGTCCAAATGATGGAAGCCTAAACGGTGGACGCGATATCTCATTGCAGGAACGAAACTTCGGTAAATGTTAACGATAACTTATTTAGATTAATTAACAGAATGAACCTTGCGCTGAAGAAAATTTCCAACTAGGTCGAACACATTTCGAATTTAATCAATATTTATTAGCTATAAATACATAAGAGCTTGTTTTACCTCACGACGAGTATTTCAAAATAATTTATACAAATATTATGGCCAAAAGGCAATTTTTTTTAACGTTTAGCATCTTCGTTTTTTTTTTATTATTATTTTATTGTTTTCACTGGTTAAATAGTTCAGACTAAAGAAGATATAGAGTCGAGACTCGGTGACTTGTGATTTGTTATTTGTAATTGTGACGATTAATGTATCAAAGGAATGTTATTCGACCTGTAGAGGTTTGCATAGCGCAACGAAGTAAATAAACGAAATTGCAGTGTTATAGAGGTTTCCGAGGTACCGAGGTTCGACTGTATTAAGTGAAAGTTTGCATCCGACTGATTCATTCCTCAAGGGTACGATCTGCAAAGCTGAACCTTTTACCCTCAAATATATTATGTACGTCTCTTACGCTCCGTCACAGCTATGTTGAACAGTCATTTGAACCAGATAATTCCTAAACGTACGCTTTAAATTTATACTTAGTCGTTAAATATTTAATTTCACTAGTAGATAGCTTCCCAGGGACATCGTCGCAAGGAATATCAAAAATTTATCAGAAAACGTGATATTGAAGACCTTTAGACCTCTTCTTCCTCGAAGCGACCTCTTAATAAAAACTTCCCATGAGGAAACCAACGGGTTGTCTTTAACCACGTTAAAGTGAAAAATGCAACGCTCAACTGCCAAGTGTTCCCAACGTGTAGCTGAATTCTTCACGAAGCTCCGCAATTATTGCAACTTGCAGAACGCGTTTAATCACGATGAAGCTTCAAGCACAAGCTTCAAGCTGGCTGTCTTAACCCGTTATTTTATTTTTTGGTCTGTATGGGAGAAAAGTAAAATGAAATACATTTTCAATTGTAAAACAATTTTGAAAAGTTGCTTTACAATTTTGTACTTTAATGACAAAGTTTTTTAATATTTGTACACCATAAATACTTTATCGAATAAATTCGTAAAAATCTATTATTTAAAATTCCTGTCTCCACCCAAAATGGTATTAAAGTAATGGGTTAGAAAGTATTGTGACACGGTTGTCTGTATTAATTTATACAGATTCGTTATATCAATTTTCATTCGATGTAGCATGAAACGCACTCCGTGTTCGATTTTCCAGGACTATTCGATCGGGAGTTCGCCGAGTGCGTTGCTCGTAAAAGGTCACGGCATAAAAAACAAATGGTCGTAGAAAATCTTCTGTGAAGAACACGTGCTTTTTATTTGCTGACTGTCGTCAACGCAGTCTTCATGGTCTAGAAACCATTATCTCTGGTAGCTCACGCGTTTGGTAAAATAGAACGTCTACTTTAAACCTGGGTAAGGGAAGGTGGAGCACTGGATAGCGCTTTATTAATATTATTAATACATTTTAAATTTTATAGGAGTACGTGTGTTCTAATTGCAATTATCAAGTCTCTCTTATATTCTTCACATTATAAATGTGTAACATTCGTAATAATAAATATATGATTGATACTTTAATAATCATTTATACAAAATTTAGCACAAATTTATACATATTGAACATTAAAGATTGTTAACGAATTTATGAATTTATAAGAAATTGATTGATTTATAACACATTCGTGAACTATAACATTTCAAAACATTTTTCAGCAGTTCATTTATTTCCAAATCTTTCCTTACAGAATTTCCTTATAAATTAGATTTTTTGTAAAAATTCTACTGTCTCTTAAAACTTTCCTTTCTGTCAGCAAACTATTATGTCATTATAACACCATATTTACTCGTTTTCAACCCTCAGGAAAGGCAAGCCATCTTTTAACATCCTCCATTGCCTCTGGTATTATGGATGATTAATTTTTCTGTTATTGGTAAAATCAAAGACAAGCATTGTTAAATTTGTCCGATTACCGATGACGGTAATACTGGTAACGAGATCTCTATTTGTGGCCGCCTCCGTAACACGATTTTTTGAAACTTTACCTATAGTTCATCCTCTTAACTGCAGAGTCAACGAAAAGCTGGTTTGACAAATGAGAGAATCTCACGGACGAGACAGATCCACAGAGTTCCCGACCGAGTCCCTCACGATTAACGCTCACCCTCTTGAATCTCCTCGGGCGCTGGTTTCTGGGAATAAAACAAACCGTGATTAGAGTGCACTTCCATCCAGTAAAACGGGAGAAGAAACTGGCCGCGACACTTGTTGCATGGCCGTTCCCAAAATACTCGAACGTCGTGGACGAGCAGCGTTTCTAATTGAGGAGGGATTCTAGGAGGACAAAATATCAATTCCTTTTTGTGTATATTTCAAATGCGGTTTTCTAAAAACTACTGTTTCCACCTCTCTGGCTCTTTTTAAAAGCATCAAAAGAAGAAATGGCATTGTGATTGAATTCACGTACATTTCATACACTTCAAATTTATTAGAATGTATTTGTCGAACTTCCATTGTCAATTAGAAGTAAACAAAGATTCCTGTAAAAGAAATCTTTATTGGATGAATGAAAACAAATGTATTCCATTTATTTTCTTACACGCGAGAGTTACTATCATTTTTGAATGATCGTTCAGAGGTACCCAGTTGTTCTACAACGATCTCCTCCATTCCATTAATCGGTCGAGTTTGAATGGGTTGTCTTAGCTCTTTTTTATTGGAAATCCCTCCGCTCGTCATTCCAGCTGCATTAAACTTTCGCCTCGATCTCATTGAACTGTGATAATTATTCCATGAAACTCGATAATACGGTCCTGAGACAGACCGACTGATTTTCTTAAACTGATTTTGAATTTATTATTTTTGAATATTTTTAATGAAAAGTTAGAGAAAATTAGTCTTCCTTGAAGATAATCTTATATATGACATTTTTCATATTTAATTTGAGCTTTTCCATATTTTGTTTAAACATTGTTGATACCTTACATTAAACAGATTTAGTAAAATAAAAAAATGTCGAGTTTATCCTTTCTACGTCAAACATATAGTTTGTTTTACTATTATTTTATTATGAAGAATAACAAAATACTTAAAAGAGCAAGATTAGCTAGTCGAGAAGCCTTTTTCAATTTTGAAAATATGTCATTTCATAAGTTTTTGTGTATTTAACACTTTGGGTATTTGGCTCAATGTAAATATGCATTATGTTCATTAATGCTTTATATTCAGGATTTTTTACAAAAATAATATAATTTATATAACATATAAGTATATATACAATATATATATTTATTATTACATATTCCACTGTCGATCTTAATCGCTAAACTAATAAATAAATAAATTTTAATATGGCATCGCAGATATCATATACCCAATTACGGGCATAGCGACAATATAGCCATCTAGCGGTGAACGATAAACTAATTTGTGTGCTCTATCCTTTTCGCACATGTTTTCTGTCTCTTTCTCTTGCACTCAACTAACATAGTGGCGCCATCGGTGGGAAAACGTCCAAGTTTATAGTGAAAATAGTTCCCATTTTTTGCCTTCAGATGGCGCCACAAACTAAAGTGTTGATAATTAGCGCTAAATTGAAAAATTGTTCATAAAAATGATAAATTTGGCATAGTAACTAATATATTGTAGTGCTATAAAGCAAAGAATGATAGTAATTAAGCATTTATACAAAAATAAAGAATAATTTATTCAAAAATTAGGTGGCGCCATCTTAAAGAAATATTGGGAACTAGTTTCACTACAAACTTGGACGTTTTCCCACCGATGGCGCCACTACTATTGCTTGTTTGTTTGTTTATTGAATTAAAGTGCGTACATTCAGTTATACTTTGCACTACTATGTGCTGCTCTCTTTGTACATTTTTTCTCCTAAACTTTTTACAATAGTATTACTTAATCATTATTCTTATTGGCTTACTTTCTGATTAGGCGCCACTACTATTGAACCCCTCAACTATACTAATAAACAATTTGTTATATAGCCCCAGAGGTAGGCTTCGTACTCTAATAAACAATTTTTTATAATGTTAAAATCTATATATTTGTCTTTTGAATTGAATATTCTTACTCGTATCAAGTTTAGTTCTATAGTATGACACTTGTGGCGCACTATATGTTACATTAAAACCCAGAGAGATACCTATTGATATCCATCTACGATAGTTATTATTTATGTTATTTATCCATGTGAGAAATATTAAATACAATGAGTGCTACACTGTTAAACAAAATCCCACGACTTGCGTATTTAAGCAGATTCAAATGTCGAAATGTTAGTTTTTAATATAGGAAATGTAATATTATTTTAAGTTTTAGAAGCACCACATGTGTCGTAGCTTTTTTGTATCTAGTGTAATTGCCTTGATAACCTCACTTACACTTTTAATAATACATTCGATGTAGTGCGATATTTTAATTGTTAGAAATATCAAAAATATATTGCAAATAGTAAACCACACCAATTAAACCACACCAATGAACAACTTGAATTATACTTTATCAATGAATCACTTGAAATTCCATATTTATTACTGTATTTTATAATATACTGACCACAATTAAATAATTTCAGGTTCGATGTTATAGTAAAGCAAAGGAAGAGGATTTGGAATTGCCTAAAAATGTACTAAAAAAATATTTTAGTGCAAATGATCAAGTTGAAAATGGTGTTATATATGACTATAAGCCATTTAAATACACTTGCATAGCTGGTAAAAAATATTCTTGGTGTTTATGTGGTAAAAGTCACTCACAACCATTTTGTGATGGCACCCATAGAAACATCTATCTCAAAATTAAGCAAAAACCTATAATCTTTAGTGTTGCAGAAACTAAGGAATATTGGCTATGCAATTGTAAACAAACATCCAATAGACCTTTCTGTGATGGTACGCATAACAAAGACGAAGTCCAAGAAAAGAATCCTAGAAGAAAAGAATCCTAGAAATTATAGTAATTGAATATATTTTAATTAAATTTTTGTTATTAAATATATACCATACTTCATTTATATGACTCCAACTTTTTAATCCTATCACACATTATATAGTGCCAAAAAATACCTGAAATACTTTAAACAAAAGAATTATTTTATTTGTCATCATTATATATATATATTTTCTCATTCAATCTGTTATTTTAAAAATATAATTATTATGCACAAATAGTAATTTGTATAATTTCTATCGAGTCTAAATTCATTCAGAGTATTATTCGTAGTTTCAGCCTCATCGCAACTCAGGCGATTTTATTTATAAAATCTTTTTTCTCCAGGGACAAAGTTCAAACATTTTAAATTTTTCTCTTAAAATAACTATGCTTTATTTCCAATGCACAATGTAAAATTGATCATTCATATTGGACAAGTTTACAAGAACGAATTAAAGTCCCTGTTAGGTGTAATGAAAACTTACTATAAATCGTTTAGTTACGAACTTCACTTGCTACACATTTGAATTTTGAACTTGATACGTGATAACGTGTGTGCAACGGTTACAGCAATAAGAATGTCGAATTAATCGTAGACTATTTAAATATTTTTTCAAAGTAACCGTGGTTAGATTTTTCTGATCACCAATCATCATGAAATCTATGTAAGATTTTGTTTATCTTATTAACGAATTTATTATGTATTCCATGAATTAAATCATCCACAAACAATTATTGATTATAAGGGAATTTTTGTTTATATCAACGTATATTTCACGATTTCGTCAAAGTGATCTTTATTTTTTCAAATGCTTTAGGAATTCAAGACCACCTGTTGCATCACGAAAACATGCTAACCGTCTAAAATGTGATAACGAGACATCTAAAGAACCCGTCAAAGTTTATTGTCGTTTAAGACCAATGATTCATCCTAACGACATATCGTGTATAAATATCATTTCTGATACAAGCTTAATTATTACATCACCAGAATCTGTAATAAACATTCGTACTGCAAACAGAGCTATTCAAACATCTTTCAGTCACGTTTTTGACGCCAATTCTTCTCAGAAAGAAGTATTCGATTGTGTTGCTTTACCATTGATAGAAAATCTTGTTAATGGTAAAAATAATTTACTGTTTACATATGGGGTGACTGGAAGTGGTAAAACATACACTATGTCTGGTAATCCCAATGATCCCGGCATCATGCCTCGTACTTTGGATGTTATCTTTAATAGTATAGCAACTTGCCAGGCCAAGAAGTTTCTCTTTAAACCGGATAAGTTGAATGGATTTGACATTCAATCTGAAGCTGATGCACTATTAGATAGACAAAATGACCTTCAAAGATTTGTAATAGCTCAGAATGGAAAGACTCCTAGAATGTATGTTTCATTGCTATAATAAACAGGTATCCCTATGAAGGAATGTCAAGACTTGCCCTTTTCAGAATCAGAAACAGATTAAATTTTATATAATAATAATTAATAATTTTAAGGAAAGAAAACTTGACATTCCTTCTTCAATTTAAACCTGATATCTTCCATGTTTTTTAAAGGCGAAAACCAGATAATGAGAATAACTTCAATGAGAATATTGTGACACAAAATAGCAACTCGCAAATTATATTCATTGATGAGGATAATGTATATGCAGTGTTTATAACTTATGTTGAAATTTATAATAACAGTGTATATGATTTATTGGATGATAATGAAGGAAAAGTAAAGTGAGTGAATTTGTTGAAAGAATAATTAATGTTTTGTAAGATATATGACAAAATTTGGGAAATTCAGAACTTTACAGAGTAAAATTATTCGTGAAGATGGAAACAGGAACATGTATATTCATGGATGTACAGAAGTAGAAGTTAAAAGTTCAGAGGAAGCATTTGAAGTATTCCAACGTGGTCAACACAAAAGACATGTTGCATACACAGCTCTTAATGCTGAATCAAGTAGATCTCACAGTGTTTTCACTATAAGACTTGTACAGGTAAGACAAACTAATGATATTATTATAATCTTGTAGTTACTATATTAATCTTCTACCAGGCACCATTAGATAGGGAAGGTGAACAAGTTGTTCAAGATAAACGAGTCATTTGCATCAGTCAGTTATCCTTAGTAGATTTAGCTGGAAGTGAACGTACAAATCGTTCCAAAAATACTGGTCAACGTCTTAGAGAAGCAGGTAAATGATGCAAATGTTACTTACACTATCATGTACATAATTCAGATTTATTAAAATAGGAAATATAAATAATTCATTAATGACGCTGCGAACATGCTTGGAAATACTTCGTGAAAATCAAACCCAGAATACAAACAAAATAGTTCCCTATCGAGATTCCAAAGTGACGCACCTTTTTAAGAATTATTTTGATGGTGAAGGAACTGTGAGAATGATCGTTTGTGTTAATCCTAGAGTTGATGACTATGACGAAACTATAGTGAGTGTTTATTTTTTACAAACCCAAGTAAAGTACAAAATACGTCGATCGAATGCTGACGATATTTTTTTTTTTTTTCATAAAGCAAGTTGTGAAGTTTGCAGAAGTCAGTCAAGAAGTGCAAATTACAAATTCTGCAACTCCGAAAGTAAATCTAGGATATGTACCCGGTAGAAAACAAGCCAACAAAGTAGGGCAATACATTTTTTTTAATGCAGTGAGATATAAGCCTTTAGAATATTTGTTTATTATTACCTTTTTGCATAGCTATTTAAGGAGGCAAAGAATAGATTGGAGTGTGCCGGTCATGCGGGTGCCGGTGACTTAGAAGTCGATTTAGGTTTAGTATATAGGTATATTGCATTCTATTATTATTCATGTATTTATAACAGGGATACTATTTTATTATACAAAATAATTATATTTTTAAAGTCTTGGAGGTCCATTCCCAGAAATGAATTTATCCAGTCCACACAATGATGAAATTATTACTACGTTGATGCGCTTCTTGGAAATGCGTATTCAGAAACGAAACGTCTTACAAGATGATTTGAAACAGAAACGTAATTTCTATTTCGATATTAATTTTAGATAAAGTACTAATTTGCCCGTATAAAAAAATTAACTTACATAAAATGAATCGTTTTAGAAAATAACTTCAGAAATATGTTGGTAAAAATAGAGCGCGAGAACGTATCGCTCAAAATCGAAAATTCCGCGCTGAAAGCATCGAGTGACCAACAAAAGAAAAAAGTAAGTTTTTAAATAAATGTTAATGTTAAATAAAATTATTGGTATTATTTAATTCTTACAGATATCTACTTTAGAAGCTCATATTTGTAAGACGGAAGCCCATATCGATACTTTATTGTATAGATTAAATAGCGCGAATGATATAATCAGACACATGAAACAAGAAGTAATTTTAAAAGTTTTATATTATAAATTGTTCCTATTTTGTGAGTAAGAATAAAATTGGTGCAATCTATTTGTAGTTAAAGAACAAGGACATGATAATAAATCAACGTGAAATAGATAAACTGAGAGTTAAGGAAAAATACAACAGTAAAATTCAAGTGGAAACCGACAAAATGGGCAAGGAATTAGAAAGTAAACTACGTCGTCAACGTGAACTTCTTCAGGTATTTAATTATATTCGCATACATTTTATATGACTGTTTGATGTTGTTTAATATTTGTTTAGTGCCAAATGAAGGAGAAAGAGGACAAACTGAAATTAATGAAACAGATATTAGTAAATAATAATGATGAAATCACGAAAGATGAAGAACCTAAGGAAATAATTTCAGGAACAAGTGATATAGAAATTCCTACGTCATCCAAAGTTGCAAGTAGTCCAAGCTGTTCCTCAGAAACTATGTCTTGTATGACAGTTACTCCAAAAATAAGCGCGAAGTCTGCATCTACTATTCAGTTTAAAGATAATGACATGACAATTACTCCAAAAATTACTCCGAAACCTACGTCTATTGTTGAGTTTGGAGATAATAATAATGTCCGAGTAAGTAGAAAAGTAAACATTCAATACTCATTGCCTTATTACATTCTTACCATTATATTCTGCAACAAATTATTCTATCTTTTGTAACTTTTAGGAAAGAATTCCAGTAGTAAATCTGCGATACAGGCGGTCTCAAAGTGCAGAGAGATGGATCGATCATCGGCCTCCTGGTTTAGTTCCAGTTGGAACCATTTTCCAACCTCTTATGCGACATAAATTAAGTGTTACACAATTGACAGATCCGAAGGACATAACAGATAGAGCATCCAGATATTGCCTCGTTGCGCAGGAGCAGGATGTGGACGGTGAACTTGAAACTAAACTTTATAAAGTTGGTTTTAGTCATTTTTTAACCTGAAATGCATGTATAAAAGATTATATAGGTATATACTCTAACTAATTCTTGAATCGTAGGGTGATATACTACCAACAAGTGGAGGAGGTGCGCAAGTTGTATTTAATGACATGGAACATTTAAAACAAGTATCACCTGTTGTAAGCAGAAAACGTAGCGTTTTTTTAAGTCCAGAAAATAAAGATTTCGTTTCACAAAAAGAATGTTGCGGTTCGGAAGAAAATTATTCGAAGAAACCACGCGTTTAGCTTCATCAAGATAACTTTTGTATGCGTTATTTTGCTTATGAAACATTGCAAAAATATGTTTCATAAATAAGATAAAATACATAATATGTATGTAAAAACCAAAGTTGCGAAGAGGTGAAATTCTCTTCGATCTCGTTATGCAATAACAAAAAGTACAAATCAATTATAAGTATATAAACTTATGTTTATTATATCTTTGTTTAATTTGACAACGAAATATATATTTTCTGTTACCGAGTTAGATTAATTTTAATAATAGGAAAATAAGTTAATTGTTTATAGTTTAAAGTATATTGTTGCGAAAGCTATTTCTTACTAAAAGACTAATTACTGTGCAGCTTATAAAATAAAATTCAACATATTCCTTCCTAATATCTTTTTTTATTTATAATTCCTTATCGTGTTAAATGTCCATTTATTTCCCGTGGCTTCTACAACACAGACTCTGTGAATAATACAAACGTTAGGATAACAGAAGCCTGGACGTGTATTGCCAACAGCAAAGTAGTGAATATATATATATATATATATATATATATATACATCGTTTCTACACGGTGCGAATTACAAATAATCTAAATTAAGAATAATCGAAATTTGTTTTATTTTTTACGGTCGAATTGCAAAAGCGGTTTTATGAATTCAGTTTTCAAATAAATAATTATTATAAATTTCGAACAACTTTAGTATTTGCAAGTTAATGCAATAGTAAAAAAAAATATATTCAAAAAATTTGCTACTGTGTAGCAGTAAACTGTAGTCGACAGAACAAGTTATATTTTTATCTTATAGAAACTACACATTACAGAAATTGAGCGTACTCTTGCAACTGATATTGTTATTGTATAGTACAGTGTTGTCGACAATATGCATTACATTTTCATTTTTACTTATACTCCCGATGTGTTGGCAACGTATAAAATCATACAAAGTATCGAGACTAGATGAATACCTTAATTAGTAAAGTAATTAGTCATTATATTATGATCAGTTTTAACAAATTATAAAAAAATCGATTATTAGATTATTTAAAGATAGAGTGTTATGCGACGATGCATTCTCCCCTTTGTTTTTACGCAGTACAAACGGTAGAATATTGTTCATTAGAAGCTATTTGTTGTAAGATAATAAATTTATCGAATAAAAAAGTGAAGTTACAGTAGAATTGTTCTGCATAGAAATTGTTAAGCGAGTTCTTGTGCAGCTGAAGTTGGGCTGAAGTCTTGACGCATTGAGAACCGAATGCTATCAATGATTTATCTTTTTGTTTATATGTATATATATATAAATATATGTTTTGTTAGAAAAACTAACATATTGTCATCAAACTACTATTGGTTAATTTTTACATCGAGGAAAGAATATAAATATACTTTGGTTACATCGTACTGTTTAGGAAAGGAACAAGTCGACGTTCCATTCTCAATGCATCAAAGAATATATATGCCATTCTCATTTACTTAAATTCTACAATTGAAACACGGGGCTAACTTTGAGCAGTCTCGCGAGTGAAAGGAGACATGAATCGTGCATAATACATACGATTCGCTTTGTTCCCTGTAAATATACTTTACGAACTAAGCAAATCGATGATCTAAACACCGAGTCGCGGTAACTGAAACGATCAAGGGGTTGACATTTACAGATTTTAACATTTATTCGTAATTCTTAAAATTTGAAGCTCTTATTATATATATGTGTACGTGTGTGTACGTGCGCGCGCGCGCGTGTGTGTGTTATATATACAGGGTATTCTGGCAACGAAGTTATAGATACCTAACCAGTGGGCGATTCCTCGTAAATAAATCTATCTAAAATGCTGAATAAAATTTGTTCATATAACGACACAATAAGATGACTACAGCGACCACCAAATTTGTATTGCAGAGTATATTCCAGAGGTAATGGAAGTGTTAAAGGATTAAAAGCGGATCTTTGTGTATGACACAAACAATTGTATTCTGCACTTTCGATTTATTATTTTTATGAGAAATCACCTACCGTTCGGTCGTACCATCATTCCCGGAACATCCTGCATATATAAATATATATATAGTACCTTCTGCGCGTATAATATATTACTTCTCTCCTCTCTTTAGACCTACTGAAACAAAAGTTCTCGTAAAAGCGGTTACGTTCTAACTCGAATATTTAAACATTCCAGATAATACCACGGAACTAGACCAGAAGTATTATGGTACTTCTTTATGAAACCGGAGAAATTCTTCACGATAGAAGTGTAGGCTTTTTTCGCGAAACATTAAAATTGCTCTTGATTTGAGGTTATATGTAACATCAACAATAACTTTCATATTTCCCAGTAAAATAGCATTACGTGTAAAATTTACTGTCAGATGACGGTAGTTAACACAGCTTTACTAGTACATTATGTGTACCAACAACAACGTACGATATAGTTTCGTTATCACTGTCGATATGCCAATGTTTAAGACATCGAAATAATAGATCAGCAAATATCCACGTATAAGTATATTCTTGAGTATAATGTTGAGTATCATTTCACAAAATAAACAGGATATGCGATCAATTCTGATACTTTATAAAGCCTCTTCGCATACTTCTGTCTGTACACATAATGCACACAAAATAAAGTCTCGTGTTTCGGAAGCGTAGGTAAAATAATGAAAAATTAAAAAAAAAAAAAAAGAAAAGAAAATCACGATGTACACAATCGTGATAATAAAAAAATTGTAAGCTAATACTGAGAAAATATGTCACTGGTTACAAAAGTTAACAAACAATCCCGCAAACAAAATTCAGGATAGGTCTCCTTAGAATGATGATCCGTGAAATTCAATCATTTGTTATGTTTCTAACTCCATTGTAAATGTCATGAGGAATATTGAGATACTCGACAGTAAAGGCATTGCCGATGGACCACATAAAAACCTTTGTAGTCAAACATCAAACGTGTAAAGAATAAACATCCGATGCACCAAACTTCTCATTCCATAAACGTAAAAATGTAGTACAAGCGACAGTATCGTCACGGCTTTCGAACGAACGATCCAAATTTACAAGCTTAGCAACAACGAACAACGAACTTATTCTATAGCTTTGCTCATAAATTCTATAAATCGCTTGCCATATTGTTCTGGATCACAGGTTGATATACCATCAACATTAGCACCGTACTTTACTGTTTTAGCTGCCTTTGCCGCTTGCTTACGAACGCCGTAATGGGTTAGCACATCGATTATGGCTAAAAAATAAATTTCCTTCATAGGTGCACCTAAAATAAAATATCATTTGAAGTATGATAGATAAAATATCATTTATTTGATAATCAAAACAAGTTTCAATTAAAGAATCACCTTCTTTACTAGGAATTGCGTAAATATCTAATTCAGGAATTATTGCATCTTCGTACTGAAGACTCGTGTCGCGATTCAACGGGGCATGTGGTGATTCTGGAGGTGTTGACATAGCAGTTATACCATACCAACCCCATCCACGGCTAAAGAAAACATAAACATAAATATTACAAATATTGATAATCAATCTTTTATATAACTTTTAAGTGATACTTACTCTCCCATTGGACCTCGTGAATCTATTCCACTTCCAGACTCGCTGTCTTCTTCATCTTCATGATTATCTTCTTCTTCTTCTCTCTCTGCACGTTCTCTGTTCTCTTGTTCGGCTCTTGCACAATCATGTAAACCAAGTAGTAAGGAATAATCCATAAGGTGCAATCGTGTCAAGAACTGTAAAAGTAATTTATTAATCGACATAGTACAATAAAATACAATAAAGAAAGAAGAGAGCTCACATCAACATCCGCAGTTAACGTTTCAATGAGTTTTGCTTTCGCATCTTCGCCAATATAAATTTTCATTCCCTCTTTAACAAAATCATTGTCCTTATATGTCGGCAAATCTTTTTCTTTTTCTTTGTCAGATGCCTCACGATCTACCGTTGAACCTTTTAAATCGAATTTCTTATGAGTCGTTAAGTGATTCGAAAATACATTCCTTATGGCAACAACATAATGTTCGACTCCATCCACCGTTAAGCGATACATGCCGAGGTACTGAGGCAATAAAGTTTTCCCATGCCTTTCTACAATATACTATAAATAATGTTGTTAGTTTTACATAATAGAATAAAAGTGCACTGTATAGAAAAACATCGCAATAAAAGCTTTTTCCATACCGGATGATAATGTTTTAAAAATGAATGCATCCTTTCCACCTCTTCACTTGTAAGAGTTTTAATGATGAACAATTTATCATAAGATTGATAAAATTTCGCGCCACTTTTACCAGAAGAATCGTCTAGTATTGGTTGTGATCTGAAAAAATAGTAAATAGTTTCTTATTTGCATTATCCTAACACCATATTATATTTTTATTAAGGGTAAAGCATTTATTTCTTTCACATAAAAGCACACCAGATTATTCATTTCTTGCCATAAAAATGATTTTGTTTTCATAATTTTTTTTTATTCTAATAAGTATAACTACATTTTGACATGCATAACAAAAAGAGGAGACTAATTTTTCATATAATTATTAAGCTTAATAATTCACTCATAATAGTGATGTTATTTATGTATTATGTGTACTTCACTAGAATAAAAAAAAAATTGGTAAAAACCATGAAGATGACATCTAACAGTCAATAAAATAAAACTCTAAGAATATTTTAATTTTATATAGTGTGCTAAAATAAATGGTTTAAATACTGGATACATGTAATACTCATTAAAATAAGTAAAGAAGTACCAGTAGGCATGAGTCTAGACATCAAGTTTCTCAAAATTACAAAACAAAAATCTTATTTCATGATAGCAGGTGTTTAAAGTAATTTCTATTTAAACTTATCACTTAGAAACTTCTGATTTCTAGATCTATGGTTACTAACACTTTTTTGCTTACTTTGATGAGTATTATACATACCCAAATTTGGATCATCAATTGTAGCACATCTTGTGTACTGCAAAAACTGAAAGTATATCAGGCTAAAAAAAATAAATGCATGCTAATATTATATGTAATTCTGAAGATTTTAATTTATGATATCTTGTAGGAATGTGTGAATATGTCCTTTGTGTATGATAAAACAATACTATGAAATAATGTATGTGCTTTGTTTCTTTTAAGTGATTCTTTGTCCTTAATGAGGAGCTCATGGGAACGTGTTAGCCACAAGCAACACGCACAAAATGAAAAATCAAGTCTGGCTAACCTCAGACGCTTTGGCTTAAAACTGTAGGAACGTAGTGGCTTATTTAGGACTGGAATTTGTGAGAAAACAGGAGGAGGAGAAAGGGTTATTGAAGGGGCAGTAGCAGAGCGCTGTACCAATTCACGAGCCTTCCCAGCCAAATCCGAATGCCTCTCTGTTCGCGAAGGATTAAATGCCCGACATCTAGCATCAAAATTCTTACATTACAATTTACCATCAGCAGATTTATTTAATACTTTCAAATCAACAGTCGACTTTTTACACAATATTCAAGCACAAAAACTATGCATTTTTATTGATGCAGAATGTTACTAATATTACTATATAACAAAGTACATATTCTTGTCATGACATTTCAATTCAAACTGACATTAAATACCATGATAAAGTTTTTATTCACAATGATTTGGCTATGAGTCACTGGATAGATTATCTTCCTTCAAGGTTATATCAAGTAATGTCCCTAAACTGCAATGTTCTATAAATAAATGAACGTGCTTTGTAGCTGGAGAAATAAAAGAACATTGACTAAGTCATTTTAATATAGACACAAATATTTTACATATACTACAGTTATCATATCTCATATTGAAAGCTTTCTCAAAATGTAACACATATCTTTAGCATGCAGTGTAATATCCAGAAAAAAAGAAATCTAAGAAGTAAATTAAGAGTTGTCATAAAATACATTCCAAATAAATATTGGGTTTCATTATTACTTTAATAATACGTTTTGATAAATTTTAAAAATCTTAAGTAAATACTTAAATAATATAAATATTAAATAAGCTATCTTTTACCTTGTCATTGATTCCTTATAATCCAAATCATCTATACCAAATCTCTCCCGTAGATTTCTGAATACTAATGGACAATACTCTTTGATTTTAAAATGAGAAGGCATATTCTCCCTAAAACAAAAAATTCAGTTCATGAATATTCAAAATTCTTTATTAAAAAAATTATAAATCTTAATGGAATTCTTATATTTTTAGTTGCTCTATAACTTTTAAAAATACTATTGGAACAAAAAGTAACAACCACTTTTGAGTTAGGAAATATAATCATTTGTATCTTTTTCATTAACTACAACCTCAGACCATGAGGACCTTCATTCATTCTATTATTAAAAGCAGTGACCAACCTACTAATTCAGTATTTAGCGATATATTTAGAATAGACCATCTCTGTGGTTTGCTTGAAATTTTCATTAATGATTACTTTCCTAGATTAGGTGGAATATCATAACAGTTTGTTTGAAAATGGAACATTATTATGTAATATACAAAACTCACTTGTTGAAAAGGTGATTATCCACTTTCAACTTGCTATACGCTCTGAAATCATCTGGCAGCAGCATTACGGGTATATTAACATGACTAAGTTCATTTATCTGCAATACATAAAAACATGGTATTTGCATGAAAATTTTACATTACATAGTACATAATATTTATCATTATCAATAAATGAGTATTAAATAGAACATAAATTTCTTCATATTAATTTTACATACAACTTATTTCAAACACATGAAAGTACTAGTACCCACTCAATATTTTCTTCTAATTAATATTTAATTTGATACTTACCTTTAATGTATAAGCAAAGTTTATTAAAACATCAGTGCAACAGAAGGAAAGTTATTCTGCTTTCAGTTATGGGACAATATAGAAATAAATTATCTTTTTATAAAATTAATTATCTGTATTCATAACAAAACTAATTTCATTATTTAATCAACTCAACAACAACTCATTTATGAAATTTCATGTTTCAACTTGTTTTGTTATGCGTGTAATCTAAAGATGGAGGGAGGAAGATAAAGTGAAAACATGAATAAAAAATTTTAGTATAAATAAAAAGAGAAAGAATATATACTTAAGATAACCATCATGTAAGTTTGTGGTCATAAAATAAATTCAATTATATGTATTAATAATAAATCTAATTTGATTGGTTATCAATTTATCAATTAAACTGTGATGTTAATAAAAGACAACAACTCTCAATGGAACTATTTTTAATCGAACTCTAGACGAAGTCAAACTAAATAAACACTAGGCAATTATAACGGAATCAACGAGTAAATAAACATATATAACAAGCGAGCAATGTCTCGCAAGAAACAACAATAAGCTAGATGAAACCTAACTGTTTCAACGATCGATCCCTTCGTGGATAAAAAATATTTACGTCATACTTGCTTTATATACGAAATGTATAATAAGTTTTAAAAACGTTAATGCTTTATTAGCTGCGAGGGGATGGTGTCCGAGATTTGTGTAACTTCAAATATTTCCGTATCACGGTAAAACTTAACGAGAGAATCAAACGATCGTAAACGCGGCAAAATAACGCAACATTTGCATAAATTTCCGAATTCTTATTCGGTTTCAAGAAAGAGCGGACGAGGAAAATGGCATTTCGATGACGTGCGTTGCTGTCACGCAAATACGTTAGTACTCACCGTGTGATTGACACCCCACATGAAAACACTGAGAAGAGGTTCATTCGCACGAAACAGCTTAACCTTTTGATGTTTGACTCGAAAGTGTTTCTTTTTCAGCTTGCTAAGCCCACTAGACATTTGCGGCACACTGGACATGTTTCTCGGCGCTAGTGCTTTCTTACGAACACCTTTTGGCTAACACCTCTGTTGCACGTACAACGAAAACTCACAACAACTTCTTTACACTGTCATCATTGCGGGACTGTGCCTCGTACTGCGAGACTCAACACGGAAGAAAAAAGTCGCACAAGTTCGAGGTGACAATCGCCGCGAAATACCAAGCGTACCCGACCGCGGTTGATTAGCGACTGAGCTCCTTTTAAAAATGGCGAGGACAGCCATGTCCTACCTGCAACCCACGGACCTGAAGGACGGTGCAGAGAGTAGTTCATTGGCAAGGGGAGCGAAGCCTCAATTACGGGGGGAAATGGTCTCTGAACTAACCTTCAGCCATCTTACCTTGATCAACTCTTGACGCCATCTATATGAAATGCGGCAAAATTTAATTGCGTATCTTCTTTCATATATCACGAGATACCGTAGCGATTAATTGCGTTAATTGCGTTTTTATTTAAAGTGTTAAAGGAAAGTTTACATCCTTATTACACTACTGTGTGATGCACTATTTTTAACATTTCTTACAACTTATATGATTTTCTTGTTCTCATCCATCCATTCCTTTATCATTCTTTACATTTTATTTTAAACTTTCATCCTTCCATACTTGGTCTCTATTTTATTTTTCATTAAATTATTTACATTTAAAAAAACGATATTTTTCCTTTTGTTCAATATGCATCATTCATTCTTATTTGTTCACACTCATTCTCATTCTCAGGACTGGGATGTTAGGTTTTTTGTTATACTTAATTCTAATATTATACATACTCAGTTAATATCATTTGCAAGCCGAGCCTGCCTTTATTAAAACTCAGTTAGACTTTTCATATATTCTTTGTATTCTGTAACATTTGTGTAAAGCTATTCAAAAGCGAAAATCATATAAATTATTATATATCTCTTCATAACATACTTTTCCTTTTACTATTATAACATATGATTTTTTCTTTTTCTCGTAGCGATTAATAATTTCAAAGAAATTGACGATGTTGTTGTAAAACTTTTCAAGTGATAAGTTTTAGACATGAAAGGTATGGAATTTCCTCGCTTTTAATAATCAGCGTGTATGCATCGCGTTAGTATTGTGTAGGAACTATACTCATCTACTTCGCATTTTCCTTATTATGAATCGTCATTTGTTTTCCTTCTTGTTATGTCAGTTAACGTAATCCCCGCTTAAGTGGTATTAACGGAATCTACGTCATTTCGCGCAGTCTTGAGTTTGTTGATAAACACACTCAATGACCTCGACATCGTACACCACCGCTAAATTGTAATCCTTTGAATTGTTTACAACATTCAAATTTTGTTCGTTATTATTTTACTCAATGTTAGTTGACGGATTATACTTTCTGATACTTTTTTTCTGATTTTGATTGGTGAAAAGGATATAAGAGTTCCAGGAGAAAAGTTGAAGATAAACTTGATATCTCTCTAACCACGGAAGATAGCGAAAATCTATTTGGATACGATGTAAGTTTTCTACGAAAACGTTTCATAGATAATACTTGATCTTAGAATAATTTAAAGTGGAATAGTTGGGTGATTCGTGTATATCTAATAAGCAAAACTCTTTGAGACTAGTATTATGCTGCGTAAATGATTGCCGTCGGTAGCGCCAGGGCTGGCGTGACTTTTTCCGAGACCGGGTTCAAAAATTTTGCAGGGCTTGAATTCACATTCAAATCCTACACTTAAATTTTACAACGAGGAATTATTTATTTACAAATTCTATATGTACTTTCATGATTTTTGTCACTCCTTTCAATTTAATCATCGCTACTAAAAAAATGTTTTGCATCTCAGCAAAAATTGCTTCCATTCGTTAATGGTATCATCGGTCCGTAAAAAGTTAATCAAAATCGGTACCTTTTAATACAGTAATTTTTGTAGACCGCGGGGCCTTTTAAAACGCGAGGCCGGGTTCCGGCGAACGCGCTGAACCTGCCTTGCGCCGGCCCTGGGTAGCGTTACTATATTGTTGACCAAGGAAAGATGACCGAAGGATTTTTAAAGGTTATTCCCCCTTCCGTCTATCGTCGCAACCCCGCGACACTATGCACCGTCCTTCAGGTCCGTGCCTACCTGCAACCGCACAACAGCTATAGAAACTCTGCGGATACGCGAGTTGCGCCTTGGCACCGTTTCCAATCGCAACGAACAACTTTCAATCGCAGATTTGTTGCAATATTACGTTTGTGATAATGATTTTGTAAAATGGTTAATCGAATTGTGTTATATTTAACATATATTTTCAAAATTTTTATATACTTTTTGTTCGCCTTCGATTATATTTTGTACAACAATTGTTAATGCGTCGTAATGATTCAGAGCTCGATAAAAGTTATTTTTATGAATCTCGTAAACACATACTGGTACACTTGCCTTGATCAAACTTAAGGCAATTTACATTTTTTATGGTCAATTTTCTTCATACAAATCATGATATAGTGTCATACTGCAGTATTACAGGGTGTTCAAATTATAAGAATCCAGTGGTTTCTTATACATGTATCGTTACAGGCTCATAGGATTAGAGGCAGATAAAATTCTTGTCTTGATAAAAATGTCAAATAATAAATAAAAGATAAAGAACTCTTGATCTGTTATTTTATCACTAAAAGATTACAATTTGAATTTTAAAATAAAATTATATTTTACGTTGAAGTCCAACTAATAGTTATTAAATAAAACATGAACTTTACATCAATTTAAAAAATATTATTTGGAGAATACTTAGCCTATTTTTGACAGGTTAAAGGGATTATTCATCCAGATTTTTCATATTTAATAAATTTGAATCGAATAGTTTGTGCATTGATTTCTGTAACTGAATTAATATATAAGTCAAGTTACTATGTATGTCTGATAATTATAGTTCTATATCAACGACCTACGATACACTCCTGGGAAGAAATATAGTTAACCAATGAGATTCCATTGCAGTGACGTAGTTTGTTTACTCGAGTTCTGTCATTCGACAAAGTGAAGTAATATTCGAAATTTATTCGTAATATTCTAGTGTCTATAAAATATTCAAATATTCCCAGTTTTATAGTACGCTCCATAGATGATATAATTAAACAGAGTTTGTCACATGAACGACATTTCATTGGTTCGCTTATGTCGATACGAGGCTTTAGTCAGGGATGTATCATATGTCTGACGCGTGATGGACGAAAATATTTTTCATTTTAGTATTTTATTTGACATATATTTTTATATTTTTTTCGTGTTAGATAAGCTCATATAGAATTATACAATTGTTCGTTGCCGTTTGTATATATAAATAATAACTTACATGAATTTTATTGATTTTCTATGTATATTTGAGGAATATTCTTTTGCCAAAACAGCTTGCCGCAGTCACGTGATATTATTTGGCACTTACAGTAGGTTGTTATAGTAATTAGAAAACAATGAATTATGACAAAATTTCATTACTTTTATAAATAATACAGCGAGTTACATCTTTTTTCAAAATTTGGTATCAATCTTAGATTTTTTAAACTCGAATACAATTAATATAACGATATATCATAGAATAATATTTAACACATGAGATCAATGATGAGATTTTCTTTTACTTTCTCCTTTACTTTATAAATATCACATAATTATTTCTAATACAAAGTGAACATTGTCAAAGAAATCAAAACGAAACAAAACACAGTTTGATTAAATAATTTCACCATCTTGTAACATCTAAATCAGAATTTCGGTTGTTTGAATACAGAATTGAAAATTTATTTATCGGTAAGCAAAATCTGTAGACGACTTAGCCTTAAAGGGAGATTCGTCGTCGTCGTGATAATGTGAACGGGTCGTAACGCGTGCACTAAGAAAGCCGCCACCAAGAACGTTGTGCTAAAAAATTTATTAAATTACAAAGATTTACGATCGAATATAAAAATGGAAACAATGTCGAATCCTTATCCAAGAAAGATGCACGACACGTACGAGGACGAAGAAGAGAGGAAACACTTTCAACGCATCGTGTCGGCTTTTAAATATTACAAGTGAGCACTTCACGGAGCATTGTTTCGTTTGCTTCACTTTAAGTCTCGGTTTGACGATTTGCTCTTATCTTTATTACCCTTATATTTTTTTTATTCTGTACGGTATACCAGTGATAACTTAGCACGATGTCGTTTACGATTTTCCGGTTGTCGTTGAATATTCTCATCGATATTACTTAACCTGCGGTGACACAGTTGCGCTATAATATTTCATTTTGCTACTTTTTATGACTGCTCTACAAATATAGTACTTGCGATATAAATTTTGCTGTTAAGTCATCGTTCTTAGTCACAACTTAAGCAAAAGTTCAATAACTTGTGTTCAACATAGGCTTGGTTAGGAGGGATTTATCCAATCAGATATGGATGTATGCAATTTGTCAAGAGTTGATCTCTTGAAATCAGTATTAGTCTTGAAGTAGTAGTTGTATAGTACAAGCATGTATACAATGTTATTCTACGATAAGTAACTTCTATTTTACAATCTTTTCTTTCAGAAATCACTCGTTACAAAGGGTAAAAAAAACAGAGTCCTATTTGTTATCGCTTCCAGCTCATCATCAAAAACTTCTATCAAAGTATAGGGAACATCTACAAGAAGTTAAAAGGTGTATTGAAAATAATGATGAAATAATTAAATTCATTATAAAAGATGTTGCCCATATTTTTGAAAATGTGAGCCCAACTAGTGCACAGACTGACAGTGTAAGAAAAATTTACATGGTGTGTGGCATGTATATTTTGTTAAACAATATTATATGTTGATTAACATTAGAAAAAATGTATTCTAGTAATCCTATTAAATATAAGCAAAGTATTTTTATAAATGTTACAAAGTAATTAATATTTGATTTTACTTTAAAACAAAACTGTGAGTGTCATAAATATAATCATTCATCTATGTCTCATCAAACTGAACTGCTAACTTTGTTTAACAAAAATTATCTCTTGTAATGTAGATGTAATTTGTATTTATAATAAGAAATTTTGAATCTAGTTTTGAACTGTAAATATAATTTTTTATTTTTCTAAATAATAGTGTAAGCATGCATATAGTTAGTAATAAACAAACATTTACATATATATATGTATATATTTGGGGAAAAAGAAAAATGACTGATTTTGTTTCCTCTATGTATTGAGTTTTTTTATATCTGAAGATGATTGCCATTGAAACAGTCCATTAAAAAAATATATGTGTGTATTCAAATAAATAAATGTAAATATTAGAGCATAAATGCTCTTATTACTGACTAATTATAT